AGAGATTGGTGGCAGACGTATGGGCAGCAGTTTTTTCCTCAGTTTGAACATCTCTGACAGCCGCCTCACACCTGCCAAGTTTCCAAGACTTTTGAGTTGGCAGCCTTACAGGTTCTTAGCCTACAGTGAAAGAGAAACTGCAGTTGTTTTGCTATCCTGGAGTTACAATATGTGAAATAAATTTTTTATAGATATATATGTCTATATCTGGCAAAGTAGATGTAGCTTGCTATTAAATATTACATGGGAGCTAGTGCAGTGTAGTAGATATTGTTTCAGCTTTGGACTGGGGAGACCCAGATTCGAATCTTTGCTCAAACGTAAAGCTCAATAAGGCTCAGTTCAGACATGGTGGAAGACCATGTTTTAATTAAACGAGCTGTGATTAGCGTGGATGCAGGCTACACCAGTAACTGTGATTAGTTGAAAGTTTGAGTTCAATGGCACCTTTAAGACCAACAAAGTTTTACTCAAGGTATGAGCTTTTGTGTATTTGAAGCCAGGGAATCAGTTCAGACATAACACAAAACCACAACCTATCTATATATCTAATAGTCAAGTGGCCCCGTGAGTGCGGATCGCTAAATCCGCGCTCCGGGGCCACCTGGGGGGCAGGGGGAGGTTTGTGCACTCTTGGGGCAGTCCCCAGGGGTGCACAAAAATCTAAAAACTAAAAAAAATATCGGGGGGATATTTAAATCCCCCCAAAACTGACAGAGCGTTTCCTGCACATGCGCAGGAAACGCTCTGCCTGTGCCGCTGCCACCACCACGAAGCCAGCAGTGATGGGACCACCAGCGGCAGCTCGGACCACGAAGACGCCTCCTTGGCAGGTAGGGACCCCGGGCAGCACCTGGCGCGTGGAGGTAGACTGCCGCGGGACGTGGAGGCTCCCTTTCGCCTTGCTTCGTAGCCTCCCCCCAGCCTTGGTGGTGAAAACTTGCCAGAGTGCCAAGCAGCAAGGAGCTGGGGGGGGGAAGGCAAGGGGGGGTGGAGAAGACGGGGAACCAGCAGGATGGGGGGGTACTTCCCTCCTCTTGCTGCTTCCTCTGCCTCCCTGCCGCGAGTATCGCGGGTCCCCCTCTTGTAAACTTTATAAAGGACACAGGCAAACACAATTAACAATATTATTTTTCACTCAAAATACAAATGAAAGCAATTGATTCCTAGCAGTGAGGCGGCGGCGGCAGCACGGGCAGCAGCGGCCCCGAGCAAGGGGGCGGCAGTGACAGGACCACCAGCGGCATCTCGGACCGCGAAAACGCCTCCTTGGCAGGTAGGGACCCCGGGCAGCGCCTGGCGCGCGGAGGTAGACTGCCACAGGACGTGGAGGCTCCCTTTCGCCTTGCTTCATAGCCTCCCCCCCAGCCTTGGCGGTGAAAACTTGCCAGAGTGCCAAGCGGCGAGGAGCTGGGGGGGGAAGGCAAGGGGGGGTGGAGAAGACAGGGAACCAGCAGGATGGGGGGGGACTTCCCTCCTCCTGCTGCTTCCTCTGCCTCCCTGCCGCGAGTATCGCGGGTCCCCCTCTTGTTTTACTTAATGGCTTAATTAGCAATACCAGAATTGGGTCTTCAGTCTATCAATGAGTCCTGATTTGAGTTGGCAAATCCTGGCTTCATAGCTGTTTCAGTTTCCCCTCTCATCATTGCCTGAGATCTGGAATTTATCCCCACCTGCCTCACATCACCCAACCAATGATAGTGCCTCACTGCATCAGCATCTTGCTTATCATTGACTGCTAGTACTAGCCATGTGAGCATGGAGAAGTTCCACTTGGGTTGGCTTTCAAATCACCCCCCCACCCAACTTGGGGGCTAGCTATGAATTAAGTTTGGCTTGAAAATAGTTAACTATGCAGTCATCCTGGCTTAAATCCTAGTTAATTGTACTGTTGGAACAGTATGTTGCCTGGGGATTGCTTTCCTAGGAAGGCAATGAAACCACCACATATTGAGGTAAACTGGGATTTGATTAATCCCATGTAAAATGAATCATGGACCTTTCCCACATGCTGGGGTTACTCCTGATTTTCCTGGGAGTCTATCCATAAGCATTGGAATCAGTTTGGGCATGTCTGCCCTCCCTGTGCATTTTTATAGATGAGGAGTCAGTTTATTTTCTCCTGCACATGGCTTAAAAATGAGGATTTCAAGGAAGAGTGCTGTTGTTATCAGTGGCATCTAGCACCCCCCGTTATTTTTTTAGAAGACAGCCCTAAAATGTTGATATAATGCTGTAGTAATGATAGTTTAGGCAGGTTCTCAGAATTCCCGAGTTTCATTTAGAAACAAACAAAAACTAGTTCTCTAGCCTCTTCCCTCATGAAGATATGCCTTTTTCCATATATCTCCATGAGGGAAGAGCCTAGAGGCTTACTTTTTTAAAAAAATAAATGAACGCTGGGAATTTAGAAAACCTGCTTAAACTGTCATGACAACACTACAGAAACATATCAATTTTAAGGCCTTTTTAAAACAAATTGAAACCATTGTCTTGGAGGGAGAGCGAGTGGTTTAACGATGATGACAGTGCAATCATTTAAAAGTAGGCTGGAGGTGGGTGGGAGTGGATGGGACAAAGAAAACAACAGAAACATTGCACACTAAGAAAAAGATGACTAAGCCTTGGCTTCCAGGAAAAGATTGGGCTAAAAGTGGTTTCAAAAAAGCTGAGGGGGGGGGGGGGAAAAAAAAAAAATGGTACTAAAGGCACAAAAATGCGTGCAGAAATCATGGGATAAACTGAAGCAGTATGGGGCCTGAACCAACAAACTGTTTCCCAGCCACACTTAATTCATAGAATTAATGGGAAGATGCATTTAAGAGCGGAAGACCACATGCACTATTTTGTGCTGCTTGGAGAAAGGGCAGATAATTTTTTTAAAACTCTGCATTTTATTCCTGAAGTTGATGGATTTCCATTCCATGTGGCTGAATGTGGTGCCTTCTATAAAGATCATTTCAGAGGGTAGCTGTGTTGGTCTGCAGTAGATCAGTAGCACCTTGGAAACCAACAAGATTTTTTGGGGGTAGGTGGGTTATAAGCTCCCATTGTCAGACACGGCTCAAATCTCCCTGTTCTACGACACACCAACATGGCTACCCTCTGAAACGATCTATATTTTATGTAATACTTCAGTACTTACAAAGTGAAAGGAAGGTCTTGATGGCGCTACAACTTAAAGTAGATTCCAGAATGTAAACAGAGTCTAGAAGGGGTAGAGCTTTGATGACAATTACTATTCTCAGAACCAGTATGGTGTGATGTATTGAGCTACGCCTGAGGAAACCCAGGTTCAAATCCCACACGGTGAAACTCACCGTGTAACCTTTGGCAAATCATTGTCTCTCAGCCTAACCTACTTCACAGGTTTGTTGTGATAAAGCAGAGCAGGTAGGAACCACCAATTCTTCTGTGAACTCCTGGGTGGAAGGACAAGATTAAAATTTACTAAATAAATCGTGGCCCTTGGCCTTTCCTTCAGGACTGAGTTGGCTTTTTCAAACTTAGGTTTTGTTTTTTAATTAAGGTAAAAAGTTCTTGGAGGAACCTCCTTTTCCCCAGTTACATACAAACTTTCCCTCTTGATTACTTTAATTGTTTTTGTTTAAAGCGATAACAAATATCATATTGTAATATTTAAGTATGTTATAGTTGTTCCACATTTACTGTATTCACAAACTCAGATTTCAAATATTCTTCTCTTTTATATAAAAAAAGCACTTTAAGAAACAGAAGCGGCTGATTCCTGAAAGGACTGTTTGGAAGTATTTTGTTCAGCTGTGCAGCGCCTTAGAGCATATGCATTCACGACGTGTCATGCATCGAGGTAACTTAATTGTATTAAACTAACAGCATAAGGATGGTGACTGGGATAACAAGGAAGGCACCATTTGTGTCACAGTAACCATTTGCTATTTTACTATAAGTATCAGTAACTTATATTTTGTGGGTGAACACATAGAATAGTAATTGCACATTAATGGTAAATGCCAGGGATCAAGCCTGCAATCTTCTGCATGCAAAACTGGTGTTCTGCCACTGAACCTCGGTCTGTCCCTTTGCCTTCCTTCTCTGAGGAAAACTATTTTTCTTTTTTCCTTTTGGAAAGTTAGAAAATATGGTTAAAATGAACTAACTACATGCACTTATATGCCATTTTGTATGCTGTGGGTTATTAATAGGTTTACCATGTATTCATAATATGTTTTTGTTTATGAGATATGAAAAGCATTAACTGATCTTGGAAGAATTCTTTTTTTAACTGTAAGCTCCAGTATTTAAAAAAACCCATCTGCCACAAAACCATGAAGGAAGGAAACCTGGTTTCCCCTCCATAACTGATAAGGGGAAAGGAGTTTTACCTCCCCCAGCATGAATCTGCACTCACAGGAGGGGCTTGAGAAGCAAGGGAGGTATTTGATAGGCTGTGGGATGTAGCACAGTGCTTAGTGCTTGTTAAAATCTTGTTGAATGCAAAGCAACAGTCCCTGGCTGGGTGTGAAAATATCTGAAGTGTCATTTTTGGACTGTTGGAAATATGCCTAATAAGATCAGGTGGCTACATTTTACTTATGGAAATCAAACCTGGTCTTTACAACCTGACACACCCAACTATGCATTTCAGTTTCTATTGAACTGAAAAATCTATGATTTACAGATTAGGATTTCAGAAGGTAAAGTACTCTTGGCTCATTTGAATTTTGAAAACATAGCTAGGAGTACATTATCTCTTCAAGATCCACGGAGCACAATTGCCCAATGTAAAGTTTGGTTCTTTAAGAAAATGAAATGGTTTTAATAACCATGTCTAAGAGTGGCAAATTTGAAACTGGCTAGTACTTATTCATGTCTGAGATCTCTTAAGCAAAGGTTTTATCACCTCTTTCAAGAAAGCTAGAGACCTCCCCTCTTCACCAGTTGGTTCAGCCTAGCCAGCTTTTCTTGAATATTCAGTACCAACCAGAACAGGCAATGGGTGAGCACACATGTTGTTTGCCAACATCCTTCCAAATGCTGTGCCCACACCAATCAGAACTGATCCAAGCAAACCTGATGAATGGAGACCCTGAACACCCACTTACCGTCTAAGTCACAGTGGATGCTAGCAATTTTTTATTTGCTCAGTGCTTAACAACAAGCAACTCGCAAAATTAGATTACTGATCATACATTATTTATAATGTTGCAGTTGGTAGATTTTCCTCTGTCATGTATTTTTTTTTTACAAAAATTCTCTCTTTACAGACATCAAGCCTGCAAATGTGTTCATTACAGCTACAGGAGTAGTAAAACTTGGAGACCTTGGACTGGGAAGATTTTTTAGCTCCAAAACCACAGCTGCACATTCTTTAGGTCAGAGAGAGTTCCATGATTTTACAATGATGTGTGGAAATTAATTTCACAAATAATGAGTGGAAATGAACAAATGTATTTAAAGAAAACCAGAATTGCCTGCATCCAAGATGAATTTTAGCAAGTATGCATGGTGTGGACTGTAAAAGATATGCTTCATCATTAAAATCTCTATTTAGCCTTTGGGATGTCTCAGTGAAAATGTCTATTCATATTGAAGTTGTTCTTATTGTAAACCAAGCTTTTTGGAAACATTCAAACTTTTAGAGAAGTTTATTAAAAACTTAGGTGTTACTGTAGGAGTCAATCCTTTTTTCCCCTCTTGGGGTTTTGCGGTGTCTTCACCAGCACTAAACAGTTGCTTTGAGAGATCAGACTGCACAGCTCTGCTTTAATGCAGGGATCAGTCTGATCTGAAATGGGTCTTGATCCACTCCTTTGAGGATTCTAGCCCCCGGGATCAATGTTCCCTCTAAGCTATGGAGCCCTGTGAGCAAAAATTCTACTTTGTGAGCTACTGGCATTAAAGTTGTGAGCAGGCGCTTTGGCTGCTGCATAAATTAGTTTGCTCTGAAGCCATCCCTTCCTGAGCTAAGACAAAAATGTGTGAGCCAGAGGCTAAAAAACTGTGAGCTAGCTCACACTAACTCAGCTTAGAGGGAACACTGCCCAGGATGCAGCATGATCAGTGCTTGCCACACACCATGCCTGGAAGCCACAGCACCTGCTGTGGTCTTCATGCTAAAAATGCAGCTCCAGTAGAAATGATGGAAGCCTCCACATGAAACAGTCCACTAAAACCTGCCAAACAATCAAGGTTCTGCCAGGCAAGTTTGGAGCCACAAGAGATCAAAGTGGTTTCCAGCTAATGTTCACCACCATCACGGTGTATACTGGCCCTGTCTGGAGAAAATGGCTCATAAAAATGGTGCGTGCATATGTGTGATTACCTCCAAGCCACAGTTTCCCAAAGCATTTGCATGGACACTGATGGCTTGTGTTACCCAATCTTAATAGGACAAAGATATCTGTCCCGCCTTGACCTAACCACAGTAATCCACACAACGGTCACCTCCAGATTAGACTACTGTAACTAGCTCTGTGCAGGGCTACCCTTGAGACTGACCTGGAAACTCCCAACTGGTCCAGAATGTGGCAGCGCGGGTCCTTACGGTGACCCCACAAACAACACATATTCAACCCGTGCTGTGTGGGCTGCACTGGCTTCAGGTGAAATACCAGATCAGGTTCAAGGTTTTGGCATTAACCTTCAAGGCCCTTAATGGTCTGGGACCCATGTATCTTTGGGACTGCCTTTCCTGGTAAAGCATTACATGCGGCAGGTAAGAACTTACTGGTGGTCCCTGGCCCGAGAGACATCCAGCTGTTTTCAACCAGGGCTAGGGTATTCTCCACCCAGCCCCAACCTGGTGGAACTCTCTGCCAGACAACATCCGTGCCCTGCAGGACTTAATGCAGTTCTGCAGGGCCTGTGTAAGGCATAAGAACATAAGAGAATCCAATGTTGGATCAGGCCAATGGCCCATCTAGTCCAACACTCTGTCACACAGTGGCCAAAAATACCAGGTGCCATCAAGAGGTCCAGCAGTGGGGCGAGGACACTAGAACCTCCCCCACTGTTGCCCCCTCAAGCACCAAGAATACAGGGTCAGAGATGTTCCCCCAGGTGTTTGATTGAGGACAGTGATGGTTTCCATCTGTCTGGCACTCCTGTCTCCTGCCTCCCCCTCATGAGGCAGTGGCACAATCAGTAGTTTAGTGTCATCTCATCAGGCAAATTATTGTTTTTGTTCTTTTATTGTTTTTAACTGTGAATTTAATATTGAATGTTTTATATATGTACACTGCCCTGAGCCCTGTTTTGCAGGGGAGGGTGGTCTAGAAATCTAATTTAATAAATAATAATAAATAATATTTGTGATACATTATAATCTTTTACACTGTGCAATAGCAATCAGTGTTTTGGAAATGCCAGTGAAGAATGCAAGGCTCGTTGTAACCTGCATGTTATACTACTTTTGCCTCAGGCATTGTCGGTTTGTAATTTACAATGCATTTATGGACAGTGGTTTCCTGTCACATACCGTTTTAGAAAGTCAATTGTCCTTACAGCAAGAGGGTGTTCTACATGGCAAAGTTGTTGTGAATTCCTTTAGATCATAAGGCACATATGAATCTATGATGCATTTTCCTCAGATTGGCACTAGTCCATTGTAAAAATCTGACTGAAGCACAGACCAAAATTCTTCCAAACTTCAAGGGCCTTCTAGTCCACCATTTATTCTGCAGGGGGCCACTAGATGTTACCGGGAAGGTCACAAGCAGCACAAAATAATGAGGCCCCTCCTCTGTTGCTTGTTTCCAATGTCCAATAATCAGAGGTATAGGTTTGATTCAGACATTGCCTGAAACTGTGGTTTGATTAATCTGTGATTAGAATGATCATCCAAATGTGGGCCAGTCCAATAACTATGTTTAGAATATATCAAACTAGGACTGGAAACCATGATTTGAAGTTGGATGATTTTCTACAGTTAGTTGTCACAAAATACATAAACCATGATATCTTGCCTTCATCCCACATTCCTTGACACTGTTCCTTTTTTCAGGCTAGGATACCAACTTGATAAGTGTGGGAGAGACAGAAAAAAGAGTGAAGGTGATGAAACCAGCATTTCTTGAGGCAAAATGCATGATCACCTGCAAGCCAAATTCTGGTTTCACAAACTAACTGTAGTTAAAATAAACTGTAGTTTCATGTTATGTCTGGACCAGGCAAAAAAGAGACTTTCATTTCTACCTACCAGCTAATAATCCCCAATGAAATCACTTAGCACTACTGGTCTCTGTCTTTTTTTGTGATCAGACTTTATTTTTACATAATTGCATTTTACCCAGTACTTCTGGCATTTCTTGGCCCTCTGGCCCTGCTGTTCGTTGCTGATTTTCTTCATACTTACTCAGGATGCTCTCATTACATCTAAAAAAAACCCTGGGGAGTAGTCAACAAAAGCTTATGCTGGAAGAAGATATTATTCACTCTTTAAGGCATCTCCTGCTTATTGTAAAACTGATCTTTGTGGGATGGTAGCAATTCTTTTTTTGTGTGTGTGAAGTCAGAAAGCAGTTATTGTATTGTATTTGTATTATAGTTAAAGTGTTAACCTAGGCTAAACTCTATTTAGGACCCAAACTTTGACTTGTGACTTTCTGCTAAAAATGTTCTTATCCATCTTTAAGCTCATTAACTAGTATTCTGCTGCTCAGCTGAGCTAGGTTTAGCATCTTCTTCCAGCACAAGAAGCCTTCTGCTAGAAGAGTGGCTTAATCTGTAGCTGAGCAGAATGATAAGAGGCAGTCCTCTATCTGGAAACAAGTTGCATCAATTCCAATTTATTTATTTTATTTCTCATAAGGTCCACCCCCCTTTTATTATGCAGAGATGGTTCCTGGGGGGAAATGTGTACAATCCCATCTCAGGTGTGACAAGAATATTTGTTCTGCTATTTGTTCTGCTATCAGGTATCCGAAATAAATAGCCCTTCAGAAGTGATATGGTACATACTGGTAGGAGAATTGTCACTAATGAAACATTTCTATTGGCCTTAGTATGGCTGAACTTTTTTTAAAAGGGGGGGAAATCCCCCACACCATTACTCTAATGTAAATTTTTTAGATGTGCATGAAAGGTGAAGAGGAGACAGATTTAAAAGATACTTCTGTTTGGGAGGGAGTGTCATTTGTATGAATAATATGTATTTATTTATAATATTTCTAGACTTGCCTTCCTCCTCTAAATCTGGGACCCATGGTGGGTAACAACAAGAAAACCCAATACATCATTAAACATTAAAGAATCACCATTAAAATTTCCAGCAATGACAAATTCCAAGCCAGAGTGTTAAAAATGCTCATCTGGAAAAGTCAAAACCCTTCTACAAAGTTCAGTCCTGCATTCTCTCCCAAATAGCAGAAGGAATGTACATCTTCTAAAGTCCTCTGAAAGACTGTACCATAGCATTGGAATAGCTACTAAAAAAGCACACAAATAACATCTATATATCTAATAGCCAAGTTGCCCCCGGAGTGCGGATCGCTAAATCAGCTGCCGCCACTGCCGAGCCCGGCAAAGGGGGGGAGGACCGGCCTCTCCGCCTCGGAGCCGGGCGGGCGGGGGGAGGACCGGCCTCGCCGCTGCTGCCGCCGAGCCCAGCAAAGGGTGGGGAGGACTGGCCTCTCCGCCGCCTCCTCCTCTCCGCCTCCTCCTCCTTCTCCCCCCCCCGCGAGTATCGCAGGTCCCCGTCTTGTTCTTTCATAATTTTGCATAAGTTGAAACCATTAGAATGCATGTGCCAAATGGAATTGTCAGTGGTTTAAAACAAAAATGAGTACAGTTATTAAAAATCTTTCATTAAAATAATGATTGTCCCTATAGCATTCTATGATCTTTGTAACCATTCTGAAGATGAGATTTTTTAAAAAAGAAAAAACATGAACACATGGTTTTACCCACTGTAAAACCGAAGGTTTTTTTTTTTTACTTGTAGACCTTATTAGGTACCAGGGCCTAGTCTAGTTTACTGAAGGAGGTAAATATTTTCCCTTTAGTTGCACCACCACTGAGAATTTTATTGTAATAAATGCTGTACAAATGAGGAAATATACTACTGTATGCCCATACTATAAAATATACCATGAGTTTATAAATTGCAACTGAATAATATAGAATATATGTTGCTAAATCATTTCATATGGGATTCGTTGATAATGTTGTCCTTGTACTTGATGGTAGGTTTCTTTCTTTAAAAATAAAATTCATACAAAACTTTAATAATAAAAGTTGGCTTTATAAAAGCATATTTAAATTACTTCTAATACATTTGCCATTACATAAGTTTATGTTCATTTACAGCAGCCATCTGCATGACCTCATTTATGTTGCTACTATTTATTTCAATTAGCTCACATCAAGTAATAGTTTTTTCCCCAACCAAATTCTTGAAATGTTTGTTTATTGAAAGTATTGTGACTGTTTTAAGAATGTGTTTATTAATTAAAGTATATTTCTGTATTTGCTACAGTGGGAACACCTTATTACATGTCTCCAGAGAGAATCCATGAAAATGGATACAACTTCAAATCTGACATCTGGTCTCTAGGATGTCTTTTGTATGAGGTAATATTGGCAATTTTAATAAGCCCTATCTGTTGATGCCCACTGCTTTTGAAAGTGTTTCTCAGACTCTTTTTAAGATCTTCTCTGCATTTTTGCTTCTATATTCCTTTAGTGATAAACTAAACAAAACTGGAGAAACAGAACTTTTAATGCCAACAATGACAAAAGTTAAACAACCCCCCCCCCTCATTCCTCTGTTCTACAAATACAACCCAGTTTCATCAAGACCAATGAGACAGCGTCATCATTTACCTTGCTATGTAATGGATCCTCATCTTACATGAAAATAAAGTCGGCATTCAGATGTCATGAGAAGCTGTAATTAAACCGAGACTTGCTGCAGACCACATGCCCACGTGCTCCCCTCACTCCTCCTCCCCCTTCCATGCAGAAGGCCATTGAGCCTTGTGGGCTTGAGAAGCTGTCATGCTGCAAACAAACTTCATTTTGCTTATGCTCTTACTTTTGGACATCATGAGGAACTGGATTTTGTTTCAAGGGTTCTCAGACTTGAGAGTCTCCCCATGGGAACGAGGGAGGAAAAAAGGCAAAATAGACAAATTGTGTTACACCCATCACTCTTAGTTTAATTACAGTTTGCCATGAGGTCTGAGTGCAGAAATTGTGATTGTAGTGCATCTTCCTTAGTAGCATACATTCAGTGCCAAGGTTAGCTGCGTGAAGATAATAGGTCTAAATGGAAACATTTCTCACACATCTAATGAACATGCCAAGTTTGTAGTGCAACTGACAAGGGTTATTTGACCTTTTATTGATTTTTTAAAAACTTTCCTGCAAATGGAATCCTAGAAACATGGCAGTCACAAATTTGCAGGGCATTCCTGATTTTAAATGTTGGATCCAATATGGGACAATACTCCTGTCCCTTTAAAGAGTTGTTTGTATAGTTGATATACAGCAACCTCCTGAAGACTGGCAACAAAATAATACAGTGAGCAGATATTGTTCCTGCTCCTGTACATGCTAATTGCAGTGCCAACCATTCCTGTAGCTTAACGGTAATTATACATAAATCAACAAGGTAACCAAATTCAACTAAATCCTTTAGGACATGCACAGCTGCTCCTATGATTTCTCCCACTGGGCTGTACAACTGCAACCCAAATGCTCTCCAGAGGGGCCTTCCAAACTCAAAAGCATCCAGGTGAGGTAATGAACCACCTGCCTCCATGATTCAGCGGAAAATCGCTCAATTTCTCAATCAGGATAAACACCTGATAGCACAAAATTTGTATTTGTGACTTATCAGTTTTGCATTACTTTGTGCTGCAAACATTTTTACATTTTAAAGTGTCAGAATAAGCTTCTATGTGCTTTCATATACAGTCTCTCTCTCTGACTTCATGGTTCATTATAGTCCTACAAACAATTTTGCTCCCAGGCTGATCCTGCATTGAGCAGGGGGTTGGACTAGATGGCCTGTATGGCCCCTTCCAACTCTGTAATTCTATGATTCTAATTTTTACTGTGTGAATTGTGCATATGAGAACTATTTGGAAAAAAAATTAAGCCCGTATGTATCAGGACTATTTAATACAAATCCATCAACTATCGAAAAAATTTCATGAATCAAACGGATACTCCAGCAGATGACTTTCCAACTGCCCTTGAATATCACCCTTGCATATTTGATATCATGAGTGATATGAATCTGTTGCTTTTTAAAAACAATCAACAAAAGGAATTGTCTGGGTCTTGAGATATTTAATTTAACGTAGATTAAATTTATCAGATGGAAACGAATAGGATTTAGAAGTCATGAGATTTTGTTTTAATCAAGACATCTGTAAAACTGAAGCGGCATCTCTTATTAGGAAGATCTTGTAGAAGAACTTAGGCACTGATCTAGAGAGGCTGCTTTGCACTTCTGCAAACATTTATGTGTGCTCAGTGATTTTTATCTGTTACAGCAGATTTTTCTGCTGTATAGTAGGCCACTTTCGGGTTTAGCCTGTGTTGGGGGGCTCTCTATCAGAGAAAGAAAAAGTCTTTCATATACAGACCATCTCATGTTACTTTTCTTATATAGATTTTAGGAAATAATTTAATGAATGCTTTGCAATCAAATAAAATGGCCCATGAAATACTTCCTTTGCACATCTGTAAGACTCACTGTGGGAGTCCTGTGAAGCAGAGTTATTTGATGCATTCACTCATAACATTTATGCATTTCATTAACAATGCTTTTTATTTTAATTCTCACTGTAATGCAGTAGAGGACTTTTGCATATAACTGGAATTGATCAGGATGCCTTGTAATCATTTTTGTATTAAGTGGGATAGTTTCTGGTTTTCAGACTTTACAAACATGACTTCAGATGCTAAGGTCTGGATGTATAAGAGTTGCTTAGAATGACAGTCCATTTTGTTTGACTGTCAATAGACTTCACTAACTTGAAATTTGTTTAGCCATAATTCTGTAGAATGGAATTACAGTGGCCCTGATTCTTCCTTATAAAAATTAAGTGGCGGGAAGAAGTAAATCTAGGCCTCTTCACAAAGTTCAGCCAAGCAGCTGGATTTTTTCTGCTTTATTCCATTAATAAAGAATGCAAATATTTAAGCTGAAGCATACGTTGGATTGTATTTTTAATTGCATCATTTCCACTACATGTATACTGTGAGGTACATTTTAAATTATTTTCAATAAGTTCATTTTTTTTTGCATTTAAAAGTTCCATTTGTTCACAGCCTCTTCAAATTAACCAAAGGAACACTTGGAACTTGTTCATGAGATCTCCATAAAGTCCCTAATGACCTTTCCTTGAAATCATCCTTCAGTTAATGTTTTAATTGAACACTTAATTTCTGGCAGTTTAATTAGATTTTCAACTAAATTTGTTACTTTCTGTCCCTTGCTATTGAATGGTATATTGTTTATGATTAAAACAATAATTATAGCTTCACCTTATTACTAAGATTTTAAAGGTTCATTTTAAACTCAGAGAATTAGCCTTTCAAATATTCCTGAGACATATTAAAAATCCTCTAATCACTGGTTTTAATTGATATGCAACAAAGTAGACTTTACTAATTAAAATCAAGATGCCATGCTTTCGCTACATGGACCTTTACATGGAAAAGTAGGTTTTACACATTTCCTTTATTGTTCAGCGCAGCAATTGCATCCTTACAGGGTCGTAGGTTGGTGGCTTACAGTTCCCCCCAAAAAGAGAGAGAGAGTGAGAGAGAGAGAGCGCTGCCACCAGCCCTGAAGACAGACAGTGGGCTTTCGTCCCTCAGACACCCCCAGAATACTAATCAGGAAAGTCAGACCCTGGAGGTCAGGGAGCAAGTCAATCATTCTAGCGATCGTCTCAGTGTGGAGGATCAAATTAGCCTGAAAAATTCAGCTGCTGGGAGGAGAGGGCGAGCAGCTGTCAGGGGCAGCAGCGAGATGCACTAATGAACCAGATGAATAGTGCAAAAGCTTGAAAATAAAAACAGGACAGTTGACATTTTTCATCTGTCAAAGCAGGAGATGCATGAAAATATAGTATTCCTGTTTTAACTCCTTAGGGGACATTCAGCTTCTCCCTCTCTCTTTCTCTCTTTTAACACTGCAGCATTCAAACAAAAGTACTTTTTAATGAACACCTAGTGTACCAGCAATGACCATCTTTGCATTTATTTTGAATTTCTGCATATGAACAGATTCTGTTGTTGGAATTTCTAGCTTTGATTTTTGTTGTTACTCTTAAAAATGTTTGTTTCAAGATTTAATATTATACAGCTGGAAAATGGGGTTTTCCTTCAGAACCCACATATCTTGTTTTTGTGAGGTTTTAAAACTGAGTAGAGTATTTATGATTCCTAATTAGTATGCACAGCTGTGATGTGGGGGGGTTGTATTCTTTTCATGCTCATGTGTTGTATTTCTCTTGGAATTTTCCTCGCCAGAGTGTCCTTTTATTAATGTACCCACTAGTAGCATTTGGCCATGAAGGAGTTAACGTTCTATCTGGAAGACCACAAGACAGATGAGAGCCATTTTCAGCTTGTCCTGTCCCTGCTGAAGCTCACTGAGTAGCACAGCATGGACTAGCGTGTTTCACACACACTCTGCCTGTCTGGGGAATGTACACATTGTCCTTCCAAAATCAAACTTATTAGCACATGTAGAAAAGGGTGACTGACTTTGGGGCAGCGCTGCACTCCAAGCAGTGCTCACGCTGCTTTGGTTCAGAGATTTAAAGGGTTTAGAAGCCAATGCAAACGTTTTTTTCCTTTCTTTCTACAAATCCTTTTAAAGTTGGGAAATCTCATCACGGTATTTGTTTGCCTTTGAAATGTCAGGTTCTAACATGGTTGTGAAATAAGTATTAGGATGTATTAATGACATTTTAAAGTTGCTCTCTTTTTTCTTCAGGAAAAAAAGGACACCTTACAAAATATTTGTATATTTTCCCCTAGATAGAATATGTTGTGTAGCTATACATGTGATTACAATATCTGTGTTTGATTTCAGTGGAATGTAATATGTACCACTAGCTACAGATTTTCAGACTGTATCCTTTATGTATATCAAAGTTCTTTTTAAACAGAAAATCGTTCCCTACCTTAAATTTATATATTCTCTTCTTTCATAGTGAAATTGTATTAAACAGGACCACACAATTAAAAATCAGAGAGAGGACACAAGGTAGTTAGAAGCATAAATAATTGAGATTAAAATTTCTGAAACTAAGACACATTAAAGAGAGTGGCCAGGAAGGTATCAAGATAGATAGGGTATCCAGCTTCCTGTTGGTTCCAGAAAAGCAACTGGGGCTCAAGTCAACATGGATGATTTAGGAAAATGTGCATAACCCTTTAAACAATGTACATATGGAGGTGATCTTTTCTTACTTGTCATAACTGCTAGAAATTCAGGGTTGTTTTGTTGCTGTTGTTTAAATTTTAGATCATGCTGTGTTTTTGGTATATTAAACTGTGTGTTGATATATTGTTTGAAACATAATTGAGTATTTAGGACAAAGTAAGGCCAGGGTCTAGAGGGCTACTTTAGGCACGCCTAAGGGCCTGCATATACCCTGTGGGGTTTTCCAACACTTTTCTTAGAACAGCAGAATTCCATATCACATCATAAAGCTCTTTTGAAAGTCCCCTCTAGAAGTAGTTTAGGTTGTTGCATAGAGTAGGGGATTATTTTTGAGAAACACAAGGAAGCCATTTCAAAGTTGTATGGGACCAGGCCAAAATTTGCACTGATTGGTATCTATAAAACAGCATTTTAACACTTCCTTTGTTTGCAGGTTAATGACCACAAAGTCAAAATTTGTTTATAGTAATCTGGTTTCAAAAACTAATTTTAATTCAAACAATTCATAACATTATCAAATGTTATATTCAGCACATATCATTTAAAAACAAATGCCTCTATAATAATAGTTGCTCTAGAATCAATAGGATTGCTAATGGCAGAAAAGAAGATGATGGGGTATTTGTCCAGTTTAAATGTGCATTAGACTTATATAAACAAAAAGTAGGGTTTCTTGGGGGGGGGGAGCCAGTTTGGTGTAGTGGTTAGGAGCATGGACTCTAATCTGGGAGAACCGGGCTTGAGTCCCCACTCCTCCATATGCAGCTGCTGGTGTGACCTTGGGTCAGTCATGGCTCTCTCAGAGTTGTTTCGTCAAGAGCAGTTCTCAAAAGAGCTCTCTCAGCCTCACCTACCTCACAGGGTGTCTGTTATGGGGAGGGGAAGGGAAGGGAAGGGAAGGGAAAGGAGACTGTAAACCACTCTGAGACTCCTTCGGGTAATGAAGGGCAGGATATAATTCCAATCTCTTCTCTTCTCTACTTCTTCTTCTTAAATATGTTTGGCTGTATTTGTGTTTTTCTTTCTTTTGCAAACAGATGGCTGCATTGCAAAGTCCGTTCTATGGTGACAAAATGAACTTGTACTCTTTATGTAAAAAGATAGAACAATGTGACTATCCACCCCTTCCATCAGATCACTATTCAGAAGAAGTGAGTAATTTCTCTTTTTTTGTGGGTTTTTGTGGAGTACCAGAAGAGATGTCCCTTTAAAAAAAAAGAAGCTTCCCATTGTCCTGGAATCTTGGGCACAAACCACAAGTTGGTGTGCAGTTCTCATTCATTTCATTGGGGCTTGTGCAGGAGAACTTGTCCATTTTGGGCAACAGGAACCTGTTCTGATCCCTGAAAGTGGAGAAAGTGGCATGCTGTCAACTTGGTTGCGGGTTTGAAGCACAGTTCTAAGTGCGGCTCAAGGGCTACCAAAGACTGCTGCTGCAACATAATAGCTGACACTTGACTTGCCTCTGTCTTCTTTTGTGATTGTGATCCAGTGCAAGAGATTAACATTTAAGGAACATTGTGAGGGACAGATCAGTTAAAATAGATACTGTTACCCTTAGCACCTTAGCTTTGGTTTGCAACAGTGTGGTAAGCAGTTGCTATTCCAAACTCATGTTCTTTATGAACACATTGTCATGATCCTATGCTATTGAGTGTCTTCTGAGGTAATTATCCTGTGGCAGTCTACAGTCCCTAAATTAACCTTCCATTAATTTGGAAAGAGAATTTCCATCTGTTCACCCTGTTTTAAATGCCATATTTGATCTGGTCAAACAGTGGTCATGTATTGGCAAAAGATAACTGATCTGCACTTTTATAAGCCCTTCTAAACCACTAAAGGATGCATGGAAAACTTAGTTTTCTAATTGTTTGTCACATTATAAACATGGCCCTTACTATGGGAACACAAAGAGCATGATCCTTCCCTGCATATGTACAGTGCTTCCATATGAAGGGGTTCTTACAGAGCATATAACAGAGCACTGTTTCCTTTCCCATGTTGTATGCACAGGTGCTTCATCATATCATTAAAGAATGGGAGGTTTGTGAGCAATTCTCATATACCTGGGCAGCACTCCTGCTTTGCTTGCTCAAGCAATATGAGCTCAGAGATTCCAATTCCTGTGATGGCCTGGTATGGCCCATCCATGCACTCCCAAGGGTATAATGGAGATGGAAGGACAGGTCTCTGTTATGCCCTGTGGGGATACTTCTGCATTGTAGGTGCTGCACCCACGTGGAGAACAAATGTGCCATGACAGTGGTGATCTCAGAACATACAACTGTCCTCTGTGTCAAAACTTGAGTTAGTGATCTTTTTCTTTGCGTTAAATGTTGAAGTTTTTTTTAAAACTAGGACATTTGGAATGTTGAACAGTTTAAACTCTTTGCGTTAAATTTTGAAGTTTTTTTTTTAAAAAGTAGGACATTTGGAATGTTGAACAGTTTAAATACCTTATTATTAACTAATGCAAATGGACATAACTTATATGTATCTCTTTCTTTTGTATATGAGAGAATGCACGTGTATTGAACTGCTCAAGTTTAGGCAAGGTACAATAATAGTGACTCCTTGCAGCTGCAAACCAACAAAGAGGCTATAGCAAGTTATTCTAGTTACATGAATTAAATATTATGTTGAAACGCACATAAACATCCTCTCTGAAATGTTTATAAGTCTTAAAAGCCTTGCACTGCTTAGGTTACAGAATGGGAAGTAACTTGTAATTCTAGCCCAAGAATCTCTCATTTCTCACCGTTTTGATAATTAATAAATACTGCAGACCAGTACTTGTTGGTCTTTTAAAAAATCTTTGTCATATATAGTGTGATAATTCTTATAATTCTATTATAGTTTGAATAAAGAGGCTTTTTTTTTTAAAGAAAGGAGGACAGTTACAAGGTGAGATAATCCTATCTAATAAGCAGCGTGTGCAACATATTCTTAATGGAGTTTTCCCAATTAGCTGTTTTTCAGTGGCCATTTTTAATTATTATGTTTTTGCGGAATATAAATATGGCACTTCATATAGGCAACTTCAGAACCGGAGGCCTAGAAATACAGTAGGGTGTGAACAATAATGCAAAATGATAGCGAGAATGTCAGGGGCTGTTCTTTGTTGTGTCATTCATGCTGTCTTCCTTTTTCCACGAAGCACATGAATATTTCACGTATCTGCATCCTCATCCTCTATTCTTCTTGACTAATTTTCAGACTGTCTGAATTTGCATTTCACATGGTAGCTGATTAGGTGATGCCGAGTGCAGCAGTGAAGCCTCAGCAGGCGGTTGCCATGGTGACCTTCAGCAGGATTTTAATGATGATACCACTAGTGGTTCGTTGAAGTCGGCCTGCCTGCAGGGCTACTTCACTGCAGCTAAGTGTGAAGTTGGATATATGGATTCTCAGCCAAGGGGCAAATATCAAAGTCCGGCCCGAATAGAAGGTCTCGGTACTGGGGAAGGGAAATAGATTCTACCTTTGGTTTTAGGGGCTCTTTTTTTACTTAGTCTGCATAGTTTTCAGTGGGAGGAGGAACAAAACAAATGTGTTTCCTTCAGTCAGAAACTGAGGGGTTTACTTTTAACATCCTTTGTTTTTAATATAATTTTGCCTTATAACGGCTTAGGAAATGGAGGGATATGTTTCCTGTCATAAGTATGGACATAATTCCTTAACAAAATAAGTAAAAGCTATACGTACCATTAGCAGAGTAGGTAAATTATTACTTTAATCAGTTTATCACCTGAAAATCATACCTGATATAAAACTTTTTTTTAAAGAAAATGGGAATATATGTAAAGATTTCTTTCTCTGTCTCTCATAATATAGTTTTAAATTTTGAGAGTCTTATACAGACTTGGAACTGCAGAAGAAGTAAAGGCTAAAGTGTATCTGTCAGAATGCAGCAGTATCCTAAAGACTTCTTCTAGAAAATTTAGACTTCAAACCGTTATCCAAGTTGAAAAGTGCACTCAGTTGAGCAGTTGAATTCAGGGATCACTGAACAATGAAATCCACTTGAATTTTTTATGCGAATAAATTTGATGAAGGAATAAAATTGCTTTGGATGGTTTCTGTCTGCTTTCATATAAGAATATTTTAAAACTAATGACAAAATGGTCTAAGATCTGTTTTATTACATCTTCTCTGTGTTTATTTTTGTTTCACTATAAATTGATCTTGTTTTGAGCATTTGACCTAATTTACAGGGATTGGTTATAGATCAAACTTTCACACTATAATCTGGACTCTAGGCCTGTTACTATTGATTAGAAAGCACTGTATTTACAAACTGTAGTAAAGTTAATTAAAATGGAGACAGCAGAGATGCAGGTTTTGTTTTTGTTTTTTGCTTGTGATATTCCTTGTGATACCAGCAATGCTCCCTCTAAGCTGTGGAGTCTTGTAAGCAAAAATTCTACTTTGTAAGTGACTGGCATTTAAAGTTGTGAGTGAGCGATTGGGCTACTGCATAAATTAGTTTGCTCTGGAGCCATCCTTCTTGAACAAAGAGAAAAATGTGTGAACTGGAGGCTAAAAAAACTGTGAGCTAGCTCGCACTAACTCAGCTTAGAGGGAACACTGAATACCAGACACCCTTCTCACATATCACTCTCCCTTACATTATCACACACAGTGGCTTTCTATTGTGATAATCCTGTCTCTTCCTTTCCTTTACTCTGTTTCTCCAACAGTTCCATTTGTTCCTTAGACCTAGTGCACTAGCAGCTTTTCTTTTCCTTTTTAACTCCTGAGCAGTTAGAATCCTATACTGAGCTGTTGGTTTCTCTACTTTGCAGCCACTGAACTGAAGGACAGGATATTTCAATATAGTTTCAGTATACTGAAGCCAATAATAACTACACATATTTAAAAGACTGCAGCCTGCATTCACTGCAGGTTATTTTTTCCCCTTTTGTTAAATGTTTTTGATTTGGGGGGCAAACTGACAAGCCTGTGTTTTTCTGCAAAGCTATCTGTTTGGTGTATTTCTTTTGTATCTTAATGGTCTCTCTATGTGATCACAGTGAGTGCCCTAACATTATACAAAGCTGACTTTGCATATAGATAATAGATATTATCTTGATAAAGAGATATTCTACAAAACTAGTACAATACAAGCTTTGTTATCAGGCACTTGATTATCCAGAATACTCCATTAACTGGCAGTATCCAGAAGACAAGCTCCTCATACCCCTGCTTCTTCAAGCATGTACACAGCCAACTCCCACCTCTCCAGCTGACCATCTCAGACCATTGTGGGGCTTCTGACATCATCCTATGGTGCGTTCTTCCCATTCATCTTGCCTTGAGCTTCACGGAAGCTAGAAGGTTCCTGGCTGCTGTGTACGATGATTGCGGTGGGGAGGCTTCTGCCAGTGGGGCTGTTGCTATGGCCTTCCCGCTGGTGTAGTGTTTTGTCGGCACAGATTCTGCTGGGTAAGGGGTGGGGCAAAGAAATAAGCTTGGATGTCTGGCATATTTGATTAACCTACCCCCCATGAATGCCAGATAGCAAAGCTTTTACTCTATATGAATACATGCTTGCTCTGTCATGATGATATTCCACCAGTTGAGGTTTACCAAGGATGCCTTTGGGCCCTTTTTATTGTTTAATTTCTATAATGATGTTGTGGAAGAATTTGTTAGTAATGAGTTTGTACCCCCCCCTTTCCAAGTTCACAGTTCTCTTAACTGCTGATTAGGTCACTAATCTTGTTGATGAACATAAGTGCATCTAAGCAGGTAAAGGGGTTTTTGGAATTCTGCAAGTCAGAATACTCAGAAAAATAAGGACAAGTTCACACACACATGCTCATTTTTGGCAGTGATGGTTTGCATATGTTAATGAGCTCTCACAGCTTAATCACCACACACTGAGCTTTCAGATCACTCTATCTCAGTGCATTCTTGTGTTTCCAACACACACTGTTCCCAGTTTGCAGAAAGTCCTGAAGTGTTGTGTAATCAAATGATGCATCAACATTAGTTCATTTAGTTCCCTCCAATGGCAGCCCAAAGCAGGTTACCTCTTTCTCCTGTCCACCACTTTATCCTTACAACAACTCTGTGAGGTATGTTACGCTGGGAGTATATTTTGATCCCAAGGCCACACAGCAAGCAAATATTGTGCATACGTGTACGAACCAATCAGGAAATGAGCTGAATTTTACATTCATGGGCCTGCCTTAATGAGACATACAGAACAGGTCAGATCTTTCCTCCACCTCTGCTTAGAAATCTACAGACCACCTGGGTTCCCTGTGCAAATGTCCCATTTTGGTGAGTCACTTCCTTCCCCTTTTAAAAGAAGTACTGTGCACATCAAGCATTGCTTGCTTGGGCACTGACATGAATAATCCATTTCTCAAAGGAAAGTATCTGAGTGGTGTAGGGTTTGTGGATGAGTACACTTCACCACCACACAGGGATGCTGCTGGCCTTAGTGAATGTGTAATCCAGGGATCATTCTTTAAACAAAACTTTTTTCATTATGCTATATGGGAGTGGAACTCTGTGTTGGGATGGCTTTCTTGATCTTATCTTTTATTCAAAGCACGTTGTTCATAGCCCTTTAGCATCATCTACTGTCCTGGATGTGAGCCAAAATAGATGAAGTATCTTTATCCTCCAAGGCCTAGCAATATTCCATTTTTATATTGGCGTGGACTGGTTCCTAATAGTATACTATACAAATCTTCCTTAGAACAACAGAATGATAGTGATTTCCATAGGAACTTGTGTGTGAAGATCCTGATGATCAGATTAGTTTCTCATCTTCAGAGGAAGGATTCGGTGATCTTTTTTCTCTAAGTTGTTGTTTTTGTTGTTCAGTCACACAGCCACTACATTGGGTATCTAAATAGGACCTAGTAGATTTTTTTCCTTCTCATTTTATTCTGGCTGATCCAGTCCATGTGTGTGTGCACGTGTTCGTATACATTCACATACAGTTAATCTCTGTGTGCCTTGCACGCAAACACATTTTGCAAGGTTGGAGTGTCAGGTGTGGAGAAGTGGGACTTGTCTCCATCACAACAATATCACTGGTGTTTCTTTATTGCACATAGGAGTATGTGCCACCAATTTATTTATACAGGAAAAAGTTAACTCCATCAGCCCTTAGCCATGGGGGCCTAATGCCCAAAGATAGGCTTTATTCCATATTAACAATGTGCTGGATTTAAAGCCATGTACTGTGGCCCACGGTGCTCAGGGAGAGTCTCTTAAATTCAAGCATGTTCCAACCAATATAGCAAAGCCCCTTGTGGCCGCTGTGTTCATTGGGACAGTGATGGTGAATGCCTGCGCTCTGGATAAGTGACATTTTACTGTTTTAAAATCGAGGTTCTTTGCCATCACAGCAGTTTCTAAACAGTGTCTTACCTGTGTCAGGGTTGTGGTTTAGGGTGGGTTTTTTTTGTCCCTTTTTATGACTTGAGGAACACTATTTTTTTTTCTTGGAGACTACAAACCTGTTAAAGTGAAAAGAAATGTGTCCCATTGCTCCCTACTACCAGGCTAAGCTCCAGGCAAAATACTGTCATTTGTGCTAAGTTCACAGAGGAGGTTAAGGAGAATAAGCAGAGCCGAAGGAGGATGCTGTTCAGGGATGCAACAGGAGCCTCTCTACCTCCAGCTTAGTTACTGTCCCAGTCTGCCTTCAGTAGAGCATGCTGGTCATCTCATACCTGACAAGAATATATTGCTATCCTAGCAGCTCAGCTCAGCCTAATTCACATTACAATCCCCTGGGTCTGGCAAATGCTACTGATGCGATGAACTCATGTTAATAGGATAGCTTCTCAGCTTCAAGGAACAGGCAAAACAATTATAGTCATGTATCAGGCTATTCTGTGAGAGATTGTCAGCTTTCTGCACATCTTTCCAAAGAAAGTGTTGCCCATTGTTGTACTTTTAGAATATATGTTTTAAGTTCATCACATGTGTTTGGGATGGGAGTCGTTGTTTTATCTTCAGCATGTGCTTCAGATCTTCTTAGGTATTAAAAAGGCAGCATGCATTGCTCTTGGCCTCCATGACCATGGAAGTTTATGTCATCTTCCTGGTGTCTGGGTTCCCAGTGTCTGCTGCCTTAGCAGTTCAGCTATGACCCCTTTTGCAGGTTAGTTACTCAAAATAGAAAGTGATTTGTTTACTTCATACAACCCATATACAAAACCGTTTTAAAATCACTATGATGTCATAGTGAGATTGAGAGAAAAGGGAGTTTGAAACATACAGGCAACGTTCTGCATTGCAGCACCTTCCATACTCTGAGTGTTAAAAAAAATCAGTGGAATGAGCCATCCCTAGGCAGATGTAGGGCTTTGTTTACCTATAGTAGATGGGCTGTGCTCCTGGCCTATCCAGTGCGGAAGTTTGAAGTTTGATTGCATGCTTCACAGAGCCCATTTATATAAGAACCTTTTTAGAGGACTCAAAGAAAACTTATGGAGTATAAAACTGACTTTCATGTAAGTATTCCGCAATCCAGCATAGATTTATACATCTTAAACCAATAAGGATGACCATAACCTCACTTAACCTTGGCTTGCATTGAAGTTTGTATGTGAATCTTGCATTCAGTTACCACCAAATATCTGCCCCCAACCTCTATGAATAGAGTCCAGTGCAGAGGTCATTTCGGGGGGGATCGCGGGGGATCACAGTTTCCCCAGGTGAAGTGCGGGGGGTGGGGCACATGACGAAGTCCCGCCCCCTGCTTCCGGCCACCCCGCTTCCGGCCCTCATTCAGCCAGGAGGAGGCAGGAGAAGAGGGAGGGTAAGTTGCTTCCTCCCTACCTCTCCCCACCCCTGCCTGCCTGGGGCCAGAGAGGGCCTTCGCGAGGCTTCCTTGCACTCCCGCCGGCCTTGCAGGTCCACCGCCGGGCCCCCTAATGAGTTATGCTAATGAGTTCCCCTAGCTCTTTTTCTACGAAACGACCCCTGGTCCAGTGTGACTTTTCTTCTTTAAAGTAGCTATGTGCAAATTAATAGCACTGTGGCTAAAGATATATAGCATCATTGTGTTGGGAATTTGGTTGAAAAATACTGTAGCTGTCTGGAAGAAAATCCTGATTATAAAAATGTGCACCTTTAGTAGAATCCATTATTTCCACATTGTTGTACTTCCCAATATTACTAATTAAAGAACCAAAATGGGGGGAGGCTGAGGAAGGCCAGGACCTGGTGACACAATTATTATCATTTTTGTTTCTTTACATGTTACTTATCTTTTTTCCAGCTGCGACAACTAGTTAACATGTGCATTAACCCCGATCCAGAGAAGCGACCAGACGTAACCTATGTTTATGATGTTGCAAAACGTATGCATGCACTCACTGCAAACAGCTAAAAGACTCGTCGAGTACTGAAGAGGACACAACTAACCTTGCAATTTCCAAGTATTATTGCAGAAACTGTCTTCCACCTTGACTTCCATCTGTTAACTAAAGTTTAGCTATTTGCAATTAGCACATTTAACAATTTTGTTACAGAAGTGTTACTTTAAAATATTTTAGGAGTTTTTTAAAGATTTTTTTTGGTAGAATACAGAAAAGTTCTAAATTGACAAGAAGGAGCAGAAAACTGGCAATCTCTAATGACTTTGGAAACTTTGGCAATTTCACAAACATTATTACATGAATTTCCAAAATTGTATGACTCCCTGCTGTTCGGTTCTACATAACTGAGTTGCTGTTTTGCTTGTTTACTATAAGCTTAACTCTTGAATCAGTTCTTCTGTTTTTAATAATTTATAGATGTGATGAATCAGCACAATTAGTGAATTTATTGTTCATTAGTGAATTTATTGTTGCCTTCCCCCCCCCTTCCCCTGGAGGCAATTAATTAATAGGGATTTTTTAATGAGTTATGTAGTTTACAGTTTTGCTTGTCAAGATAAATGTAGATAGAAACCATTTTATTGGCTGTTGAACTTTAACACAGCTGCTGAATGTGAAAGGATGCTTTTTGGAGAAATTGTCCAACACTGAAAAATAATACTGTCAAGCTTTTGTTTCTTTACCTTTGCACAGCATCCTAATCCTCACCTTTTAAAAATTTCAGACATTTGTCTTATGTGGTGCCATGTTGGAGGAGAACAGTGCAAGTATATAGAGTTAGGGCTCTGTTTGGATCATTCCCAGAATCTGCAGTTTTTAAGGCTGAGTTCCACAGTTTTAAGTGGTTCCAAAATTCTTCTTCCTCTTCTTCTTCTTTGCAAGAGAAAGCTCTCCTTCTAAACTCTTCTTCTGAAATCAGTGGGCTTTACAAGTGCTTATGCCCATCTTTTATTACACTCCCAATCCTATGCAGTGTTATTCCCTTCTAAAATATAACTCTGCATAGGATTGCACTGTTATGTACAGAATACTTGCGTAAGTCCTTATGGCTGTGATTCAGCACTTCTCATTGAGACATAATTTGTTTCCAAAGGCTATCATTCTGTGTCCTTCTTCCAACATTTTTTTAAAATAGAAATATTTCAGAAGATTTTGCAAGTTACACTGGCAGTTTTAAAAGCTAGTTTACATGTAGAAATGAAACGGTTGCTGCATAGTGGCTGCTTGAGATTGCACACATGTGACAACTGTTCCATGTGGGAAATGATTTAAGTGTTTAAGTACCCCACGTGGGTCAGAGACCCAAAGATGGCTTTCTCTACACCATTGTAAATGGGCAACAGGAATGTATTGCAGATGCATAGGGCTGAACCTCATGGTAACAGGCAATCTGTGTGGGTTGCCAAACTTGCATAAGAATAGCCTTTTATAATGAAGACTTCTGCTTTCTAAATCACCCATGTGTATGTATTTTGTATGGATTTAACTTAGAAAACATTATTTTGTTTCTTGAAAGGAGTTAGCTTAAGTTTGAGGTTTAAAAATAGAGATCTATTTTATACAGTAGCTATAAGCATTTAAACTAGGCAAGAATGAATTTTTTTAGTGAAAGCATTATTTTGTAATTACAAAGTTCAATGTATATGGCGCTGTAGTCTCTCAAAATTTTGGGAGTCCCTTGAAGTGTCAAATTGGGCTTTGATAGTGGTGGGATGGTAACGGCATCATTTGCAAAGAGGAGGAAAACCAGGTAGAAATGCTGCAGTATTCCTTTGTAAATAGTAAACACAGATCTTTTATTTATTCACCCTGCAGTCAATATTCTTATCTCTTTCTTTGGTTGCACTCATTTTAAAAGCATGCGTAAGACTTATAGAAATGCTCCTCCCAATACAACTGCTCATGTTACCTGTTAAAATGCACTTGCTGCTCCTGTGGAGCCTATCAGGACTGACAATGGAGACACAGCCTCTGTAGCACTACTTAAAAAAAAAAATTAAGGCAGTGTTGCTGAGGCTACATATGCCGTATGCTTCTCGTGTATGATATAAGAGCCAGTAGGTAAAAGTTTAGAAGGGAGAGTCACATTCTTAGCATCCGTAGCGCCAACATGCCGTAAAAGCTGTACTTGTAGCAGATTCTCCCCTCTGTGCTCAGAACTGTAGCTCCTTCCCATGATAAAATCAGAGTAGCATTGTGGTATGTTCACACATCCCCATTCCCAGTCTAGCTAGGACATGTTTAGTCGGCTGGAGGCAATGAGTTGGATCCAAGCCTCATATTCCATGGTTGGAAGGGCACTTGCTTTGGCAGCAAGGCATATTGCTGTTCCTGGTGGTCCCTGAACAAGGCCACAGTGTTGAGGTGGGGGCTGCAGCAAGATGAGAAGGTGTGAAAGTTCCATAGCATGAGAAGAGCAGAACTCACAGTGCTTTGGATCCTGCCCAGTAAGTGCTGGTTGACCAAGTCCTTTTTGTGTTACTTGACCACAAAACTGACTAAACAGAAGCTTTTTCATGGCTACAGGATTAGTCAGAAGCTGCTTTAAACGGTTTTGATTGTTTTAATCTCAGTGATGTCCGAAATGCTGCATTCCTGTCCAGCAGCCTAGTTTAATGACAGGAACCAGAGCCGACCTGCTCAGTTTCTGACCTACCAAATAAAATGTAGCCCAGTAGCATGTTGGTAAGCTACCAGATGCTTGACAATTCCCCCCCTCCCTTCTGCTTTTGTCAGTCCCGTATGGGAAATAAAATTAAGTTTCCTGACTCCCTGGTAACCTGTCATGTATGGTTTGTGGGATGCATTTCGCTGGGTCATCAAAACCTTGAGTCAGAGCCTTTTCATTGTTGGCTTTTGAGTTTGTTTATGCTCATACACCTTTATCTTTCATAGCCAGGAGTGGGCAGTCTTGCACAACTATTTTTCTGTTTCAGGGTCATAGTTCTAGGAAAACATGCATTCATATGAGATTACGATACTAAGTGCAATGTTGCCCTGTTCCATAGCACAATTGTGCCTTCCATATTGAGAATTTGAGAGTAATATGCTAGTTTGCATTAAAAATTAACTGTATTCTATAATGAGCTTTTTTTTTATGTCGAGGGCCAAAGTTTCATTTGTGAAGCACAGAATAGGATAGTAATTGCTTGACCATCATTACCATGTATTACTATGCAAAGGTATTCCAGAAATATTTTAAGATGTATTTTCCCCTTTTTATAGCATTTTTAACGTTTGGGGGACAAGCTGCTTAACACAGTTTGCATGAAATATTCTTAAAGTCCCAACTCTATACATGGTTACTTATCAGTAAGTACCATTGAGTTCTTTGGGTCTTACTCCCAACTAAGCGTGCATAAGATTGCAGCTTTAATTAGTTTTACTCCAGATGTGCACTTTGCTAAAAATGCATGCTTTTTAACATCCATGAATAGCATCTATAAAGAAACACCTTTGCAAAGGGTTGGAAACAATTATGACATACATTCAGGTAATTCACCTGAAAAGCAAGAGTGCCTTTATAAAAAAATATTCTTCAGTGTCGATAATTTAATTTTATTGAATAACCAATAAATGTGATTTCTCAAGCTAGCAAACAGAACAGTACAGATGTTTGAGACTGATGTCACTGGTCTCAGAAAGGTACTCTTGTATTAGGCAGAGAGAGTCGAGCCTGGTACCAGTCTTAGGCATTGTGCAGTGGCAAAAAAACAAAATCACTTGAGATAGCAGAGAAAGGACAATAATCCTGCCAGTAGGTCAGTTGAGTTTGTTGTTCTCCACACAGTCCAGTCCCAGAGCTCTGAAAAAAACAACACCATAGGCTAAATAGGAAAGACCTGTTTCACAAGTTATGGGAAAAACTGGTCAAGCAAGGGTCTACTTAGTAAGTTAGTAGCAATAGTATGGAAGCTGTCACTGCAGAATAGGCACTCCCATACTCCTGTAGTAACACCTGAAGGATGTAATTACATATTCAAGGCTGTCAACATGGTGAATTCCACTGCTAGTATCACTGCCTCTTGGGGAGGAATTCTGTCAAACATTACTAGAGCAGACCATTTAAATGAATTGGAACACAATGTAACTCAAACTTCTGCTTCCCTTGTATCAGGGCAATATTTGATCTGTATTTAAGTATATCCCTTCATAGAGTTCCAACTTCATAAAGTTGGAAGGAGAGGGTGTTGTATTATCTTGCATCTATTAATGCTGATGATATCTATGTGTATCAGACCTTATGGAGCAGGAGTTGCCTGCTTTGTCCTGCTGCTGCAGTCCCCTAAGCCCCCTGACACTGTGTTTTGGGGGGGTCAGCAAACCCTCTGGATCAGCATAGGTGACATATGGGGGTCAGTGGAGAGAGGAGGAATTAATGGAAATTACCACCCCTCTTACAAAGGCTTTTAATGGCCCATAAGAACTGTGTGGTTGGACATATACCCATTTGCTGTATGGCAGATACCTTTCCTAATGGACACATGAACTTACTGCATACTACATAGCAAGTAATAAAAAGAGGGAAGTTGAAGAAAGGAATCTATAAGATAAATCTTTGGAAGTATATAGTTTGCCGTGCATTGGTGATAGACATAGTGACAAGAATTCCATCTTGTTCCAAATTTGGGGCTAAACAAAGGCCAGGCTATGCAACTGTTATATTTGTTGTTAATGGAGCTACATGCTTAACTGCTGGGTAATCTGCCTTGGCGGGGAGGGTGGTGTATAAATTTAATTAATAAATAAATACATACATTTCCTACAGTGTATACTTATATAGAAATTATAAAACTTAATAATGCCTTACTTTTTTGGTTACTAGCGAGAATATTATTCTAGAATCAACAGATCTATGGATGTCTCTGTTAAAATTTATGCTATTTATTTAACCAAACTTTTGTTTTTATTAAGAATGCTTATTCTTTCAAATGAATGTATTACTTTAATAAGCAAAACATGTATGCCTTCCCTTTGCCTCATGTTTCAGTAGTACTGTAATAGTTCTGACTTTTTGAAATGGTTTATTTTGTTGTGTTTTGTCACAAGGATTCTGCTTTGTTTTGAAAGAAAATATGTTGTTCAATATCTTAATATAAATAAAGGAAACAAAAGTTAAGTACAGTGTAAAGTCAAACAACCTCATTGTCTTTTTGTCTCCCTCAACAATAAGTATTAACTGAAAATAGAGCAAGATGTAAGGTAAAGAAGGGCAGGGCAGTCCTCAAAGCAAATGTACTGGAGTATTTTAATAATTTATTCCTGTTGTCACCCTAAAATTTATTTATTTATTTATCTATTTATTGCATTTTTACCCCGTCCTCCCCATGAACGGGCTCAGGGCGGCTTACACAGGGGCACAAGCCCATACATAAAACAATGTAAAACAGTAAAAACTATTAAATCACAACAAAACAAAGTGCTCCATACAAACAAGATGGTCTCTGAAGATGGTATCGATCATTTCCTTAGGGTGAAATTGTCCTGTCGATGGTCCAAGCCAGTCCAGCAGCATCAGTCCCATGCAAATTTATGGCAGTTCTTCTGGGGACCGCTCCCAACCCCGTTTTTTCAGTGGTGGTAGTAGTAGAAGTGGCGGCCCCTATATAAAAGCCTGGCGGAAGAGCTTCGTCTTGCAGGCCCTGCTGAACTGCATAAGGTCCCGCAGGGCCCTGATCTCCTCCGGGAGCTCGTTCCACCAGGTGGGGGCCGCCCCTGAGAAGGATGTGGCCCTGATCGCAGCAAGCTTTGCCTCCCGGGGGCATGGAATCACTAGGCGATGTTGTGTCCCTGACCGAAGTGCTCATGGGGGTATATGTGGGGAAAGGTGGTCCCTCAGGTAGGTCGGACCCTGGCCATATAGGGCTTTAAAGGTAAGAACCAGCACTTTGAAGCGGATCCGGTATGCTATTGGCAGCCAGTGCAGCACTTTCAGCCCAGGCTGGATGTGCTCCCACTTGGGGAGACCCATCAACAGCCTGGCTGCCGCATTCTGCACTAGCTGCAGCTTCCGGATCTGCGACAAAGGCGGCCCCATGTAGAGAGCGTTACAGTAGTCCAGCCTTGAGGTGACCGTCACATGGATAACTGTAGCCAGGTCACCGCGGTCGAGGAAGGGAACCAGCTGCCGAGCCTGCCTACGATGATAAAATGCATATCTGGCAGTGGCTGCCACCTGGGCCTCCATAGTTAAGGAGGGGTCTAGGAGCACTCCCAAACTCCTAACCTCCAGTGCTGGCACCAACGGCGCCCCATCGAAGGTCAGGAGAGGGATCCCCAACCCCAAGCCGCGTCGACTCAGGCACAGGACCTCCGTCTTCGCTGGGTTTAGTTTTAGCCGGCTCAGCCTGAGCCACCCAGCCA